CGTGTGAATTAAACAAGTCACATATTATTAGCACTGATGAAGATCCGGGCTTACGGATCGAAAGCTTTGCAGTAATAAATTTACGTGGTGTTTCCACAAACAAAAACAATTATATTCCAACGTAATGCTTTAAAACAAGCACAAGTTTTTTATTCCCGAGTCAACGGCGCGACGCGCCGTACGAGGGTACTCATTCCCCCCGGCAAATTTACACCCGGGGAAACGAAAGCATTAGCCAAGTCTAGAGTTCATCAATTATCGCGGGCGTGGGTCACCAACCATGGGTGGTCATCCTCACTAATCTCAAAAATATGACGGACTGTCATCAATAGCGGACACTGATTGGTCCAATTTAAAGTTTGCATTATAACGACTGCATGATGACAGCGAAATAGCAAGCATTTCTTGATTTAATGATTGATAAATTTCTTGCAAATATGTTTCATTTTTGCTCGCATTTTTGCAAGATTTTGTAAATTTTAAGAAAGAAAGGGCGAAAGAATCGGCTGAAAGAAGGGAGCCGACGTCAGCGAATTCGAAGGTAAGTTTGTTTTAAATATTGATTTTATAATGACTTTAAAACCCGACCGCCTTTGTGTATATGAAACCATGGGTCTCCCGAAAACGTCTTTTATTTAAAAAAATTCATACAATTTGCTTTAACATGCAATGCTTTGACATGCAATAATGCTTCAATGTACAGTAAAACCTCTATAATTTGTATTACATGAAGTACCTGCAGCATCACAATAGCGTTGTGTCATTAATATGTAATATATTATATATATCCCCAAGCTTGGCAACTAAATACAAATTTAAAACTGTATACACAAACTTAATGACGAAAAAACTCGTACATAAACATCGAAATTCATTAAAAAAACTAATTCACTATGGTAAGAAATAACTTTAGTACTTCTACATTGTGTTTTTTTCTTCTCTCATCACTTTTGAATGAGTTAATTTTGCGAAAATTCCGAGGAAAATTAATCAAATTTGTAACTCAATTTGATCAAAACTATGCGGGATGATGGCTCCCGGCGTTACGTCACAAAATAAAGCTCTCTGATTCGAATTTCAACCTGCCAATCAGAGAGTTTTTAAATTTAAAAAATTTTCAGCAAATCAGAGAGCTTTATTTTGTGACTTAACGCCCGGATAGTAATGACCAAATTGTGCCATTTTCCTCGGAATTTTTGGCAAAATTAACTCGTTTAAAAGTGATGAGAGAAGAAAAAAACACAATGTAGAAGTACTAATTTATTTCTTACCATAGTGAATTAGTTTTTTTAATGAATTTCGATGTTTATGTACGAGTTTTTTCGTCATTAAGTTTGTGTATACAGTTTTAAATTTGTATTTAGTTGCCAAGCTTGGGGATATAGACACGGTAAAAAACGCCAAGCCCGTTGCTCAACAGGACTGAACAATGTTTTGCTGCCCACGTTGTTCACACTTGTCAACAATATTGAACAATGCTGTTGAGCCTGAATCGGGTGTAACAATATTGTTCAATATTGTTGACAGCTATGAACAATGTGGGCAGCAAAACATTGTTCAATCCTGTTTTCATCAGTATTGCATCAACCTGAGCGTTTTTTGCCGTGTACATAATGACACAACGCCATTGTGATGTTGCAGGTACTTCATGTAATACAATTTATAGAGGTTTTACTGTACATTGCATGTCAAAGCATTGCATGTTAAAGCAAATTGTATGGATTTTTTTTTTCAAAAGACCTTATTTTTTAAATAAAAAAGAAAGCAAAGTTATTTGCAAGCGAGAATTTGAAATCATATTATTGCAAACTCAAAGTTTATCGATAAAGCCATTTTAAAAGGCAGTTTAGTTTTATAAAGAACGCTAGTGACTTTAAAACGTTTTGCGAAGCGTTTGTGGTTGAATTTTACCTCAAACTGAGGCTTATATCACGTATAATAACATGCCTAACATATATATGTTGGGAAATTAATAATTTTCTAATTAAAAGTTATATTTTTAGGCTTTTTTTCATTTGTAAGAATATTCTTAAAAAATTATCGTGTTACCATGACAACTACTTTAGATACTTCATGTTCTGAAAATACAATGGTTTTGTCAGCAAGGCTAGAGTTTCTGCATGTATGTATTTTCTAGTATAATGACTAAGAATCATAACATATAACGAAACTACAACTTTTGTTTACTTCCTGGGAGCGAAATCATGACCTGATGAGGCAATATTTAACCCGTAAAAATACGCAACTTTCGATCGCTATATCTTCCAGAGTACAATTCCGATTTTAATAAAAACGTTAAATATTATCAGAAAATATAACCTTTCATGCACATACCTGAATTCCAGGCCTGGGACTAGTTAACCTGAATTTTAAATAGGGCCTGACACAAAACCTGTCTAGACCGTGGGACGCCCACATGTTATTCTTAGACACAACATGCAATATGATTGACAAGTGTTGTAGATTTCATTGCACAAAAAAATTATATTCTCATGAACATGTCCGCAGAGTGCATTTTGCTTTTCAATTAAACTTAAAAATTCAAGGTACTTTTATATAATTAAGAGCCAGTTTCTCTATTTAACTACCCTGGGTACTATTTAACCGAACAGCAAACAAAGATTTAATTCATAGTCAGTTCTGTGCACGGCTTGACTGCCAAGCTTTCTCAAGGTCTCAACTTGCTGGACGCGGATATACTCTAGCGGGCTAACAACAGCAACGATGAAATTCTCATTCGTACCACGAAGAAGGCGATGTAGCTCAGAAAACAACATCGGTAGGACCTGATATTAAAAATAAGACTTTTGACGGCAAAGCCAGTTGGCGGAACATCTTGGCTGTCAACAACAAGCTTTCGAATACATGACTAGTTTGGCTGTTCTTTCAGCGTCGTGTGTCCAAAATTCGTCAAAGATTTTGATAAAGCCCTTTCAAAATACTGTTTGTTTGATTTATTTTCTGCCATATTAAAGCATAAAAGAAAAGAAATTCGAAGAAATCGATAATGGAATTTGATAGGTGCGTTTGACCTTTATATTAATTGTCGCCTTGAGGAGCTATTTTTAAAACTGTTGTTTATGTGAACTTGCAGCCAATCAAAATCTTTCATGATGCTGATCAACCAATCAGATTTCCCGTCCACCAGATGGACGGGAATCCCACCGTTTAGATAGGTTTTGTGTCAGGCCCTATTCTGTGATTATAGGGCCTGAACTTCAGGTTAGGGACTAGTTGATAACATGCTCAAATCTTATATTGAAATTTTCCCTCCATTGAAGTCATCCAAAGAACAAATAATTCATCACATTATTTTCTTTATAATACAACTTCATATGCTAAACAAATATTCAAACGGTTCGAGTATGCGATACTTCGGAACTGAGTCTAGTTCCTTCGATATCAGTGTAATCTAATAATCATGAAATCTGCTGTGTTGGTGTATTGTACTCAGGTGAATAAGAAGTTTGTGTGATGTTACTCTGAGTGATACATCCACACCGGGCAGACTTGAAAAATATGCCTGGCCACGGCGGGTGTCCCGAATCCCGCCGTGGCCAGGCATATTTTTCAAGTCTGCCCGGTGTGGATATACACTCAGAGTAACATCACACAAACTTATTCACCTGAGTACAATACACCAACACAGCAGATTTCAAAATATTCAAACGATAAACTAGTAAGTAATTTGTAAAAGGTTATTAAACTATGTAAAGATTCTTAAAAATTCGATTATTAAAAATGCACTCCTTGTCATTTTTCGAAAAAGCACGCTCGTGCCAGTCTTTTTTCCGCATGGAAACTGACCAATGGAAACTTGCCAATGTCTGTCCTCTGCCTAAGGCATCTTCTATCTGCAACATCAATGAAGATTTAAGACCAATCTCCCTAACACCCACCCTCTCAAAAGTTGCTGAGAGCTTCATCATAGACATTGCGTTGAAACCTGTTCTACTACCTATTATCGACCCAGGCCAATTTGGGTTCATCCCAGGTTCATTAACTACTCTAGCACTAATCTCTATGTTCCATCATTGGTTACGAGCTACTGACGGCACCGCATCCACCGTAAGAACCATACTTTTAGATTTCCGCAAAGCTTTTGACCTGGTGGACCAAAATATTTTAGTCGCCAAACTGTTTAGAAAAGGCGTAAAACCCACGGCCGTCAATTGGATAATTGTTTCCTAAGACACAGAAAGCAGAGGGTTAAACTAAACAACATCGTTTCCGATTATTGGCTTGACGTCCCAGCAGGAGTGCCTCAAGGAACCCGTCTTGATCCCTGGTTGTTTTTAGTACTAATCGATGATCTTAAGCTACCTCGGGAATCCTTACCTATGTGGAAATTCGCCGATGATTGCACAATCTCTGAAGTGATACCACCCTTCAAGCAAAGCTCTCTTCAGCAAGCTGTTGACTATATCGATGCATGGTCTCAAGAAAATCGATTACAATTGAAACCAACTAAGTGTAAAGAAGTACGATCATGTTTCAAGAGAAACCCTCTATCATTCCCTTTAGTCGAACTAAATGGTTTCCAATTAGAAAGAGTTAGCGTGGCCAAAATTCTTGGCGTAACAATCCGGGACGATTTTAAGTGGAACGACCATATTGGTATTGTCACCGTAAAAGCCGCAAAACGACTGTATCTTTTGAGACAATTAAAAAGAGCCGGGATCTGTCCAAAAGGTCTTATCACTTTTTACTGTAGTGCCATCAGATCACTTTCATCGGAGTCTCCCTAACTATCTGCCAAACGAGCTTGAGAGTATCCAAAGACACGCTATGCGTATCATCCTCCCAGACTTGAAATATGCTGACGCGCTAAAAGACGCAGGCATTTCCACTCTCTTCGACAGACGAGCCCAACTATCAAGTAATCTTTTTAAAGATATTGTTAATAAACCGGATCATAAGCTCAGTGGCCTACTTTCACCACAAGCATATCATCATAACGATTTAAGGAGTGAACGAAGGTTTAATGTACCTGTTAGTAAGACGGATCGTTTTAAAAAACTTTTATTATTAGTCATAGCTCAAATATATAAATTTTAACAACAATTAATCTACAGTAGGTGATCAATTGACTTACTCTTATTTTTAATTATTCAAAATTGTTGTAATAATGTATAAAACTCAATTGTTGTAAATATTCACATAACTCAGTCTACGACTGCAAAATGTTTTATTTGAATAAACGAATCTATCTATCTAATCACATTGATCAGCGCGATTTGAGCGCATTTTACCGTCCATTAGGGACCGGTCATAAAGTAACTGCTAGGGTGGGCTGGAGTGATTTGGGATGGGCCATGGAAAATCTTTGGGCAGTTTTGATGGGCCGCCAATTTCTTTGTATGCCCACAGTTGGGCCACCAAACAAAAACCCATGTGTGTTTACTTCAAAAAATAAAGATATTAATAATAAAAGTAAACAAAACTATCCAAATTATCAAGTGCAAATGGTGCTATTGAAGCCAGTACTTTGTTTATACAACAACAAAAAGTCGGGTCGAATCACAGATACAACCAACTGAAGAGCAGTTCAGTATCAATGTGTTGATCAAGACTGGTGGAATTATGTATGTCAATGCAGTGCCGTGTATATTTACAATGTTCATACCTGCAAGTTTTTTTATTATAAAAGTGTATTTTCCCAATTCAGTTAGATTGGGTGGGTCATGAAATCTTTTTTGTAAGATTAGATGATGGGCTTTGAAATTTTTATCTACATCCTAAGATGGGTCACCAAACTTATTGGCAAAATTTACCTCCAGCCCACCCTAGCAGTTATTTTATGAGCAGTCCCTTATATAAACGCCCTTTAGCGCCCAGGGGCCGGTTGTATCAAAGGCGTTTAACTTAAACGGTGTTTAGCCGCTATCCAGCGTATAAATTTCTTATCCAGCGGATAGTTAAACGGCCGATAAAATTGCGTTGTATGAAGCCCGTTTAGTACCGCGTTTAACTATCCGTAGGATAACCTTTAATTTAACCGGAGAAAACCGGATTTTCTTGAAATTTCTTACCTCTACGTCAGCTGTTGCTAGGCCATTGAATCAAAGATTAGATACTAATCTTTGATTGAATTCCACTAAGCTTTTGCAATAAAGTTTGTAGTTGTTTTTATTTGGAGTTTGCTCGTCCATCCGTTGCTGCAAATCTATATCAAACTTTTCATTTTCACATTGTGCTGAGTTTCTCATTCACTTAAATTCACTTACGGATATTTCTTTAAAGATTTTTGGCTTCTTTATGCGAAGAGTCGAAGGCAATAGCAAAAACTGTGAGTTGTATTTGGCTTTTGTCAGTTGGTTCAGTTTTATATTGTTTGAAATTTGTTCCTCGACCTTGCACTTTTGTACAAAACAATTTTAAGAACATTTTGAACCACGTTTTGATTGGCTGATCAAAGCGATTAACGCGAGCGAACAATTTTTTTTCGACTTTCGCCGTCTTGTTGTCTATTTTGTATACTTGTTGGCTTTCCAAAATCATTGTTTGTTTTACAATAGCTAAAATTGCGAGTCTTAGGCTTACTGCTTGTTTTCAAACTATATAATAGAAGAAAAGAAGAAGAAAAAGCCAGAGTATATATACTTAACATCTAAACATGACACTGGTGTGCGTATTAAAATATAGCAAAGCCACGGAATTACAAGTGAGCAAGTGACCTCAGTGTACCTCAAGACCAAGCCAGTTAAAAGTGAGTTTTTCATGTTTATTGGATTTAAAAAGATAACTCCTCTACATGATTGTGCATTTTTATAACTATCCCATGCTTTTTCATCCGAAATAATCATTGTTTTATCTTCAAACTCCAAGTTTATCCGCCGTATAGCGATTTAAACGGTCTCAAGAGACCGTATAAGTTTACACGGTGGATAGGCAAAATTTAACCGGTGGATAGCCCTAGACGGGCTTGATACAACGCGATTTCTCGAGCGTTTAAATTTTATCCGGCGGATAGCGAGTTAAACGGTGGTTAGCGAGTTAAACGCCTTTGATACAACCGGCCCCTGGTGATAACCTACTAGAGTAGCAACAAGCGGCGATGCAGGGCGCGAGAGTCAATGGCCGGTTTTAAATTAAGTATTAAAAGCTTGAGTTATACGAGCAACAAAATTGCTGCAACTTGCAACAAAATCTGATTTCAACGCATGTTAATTGGAAATGTTTACACATAAATCACAAAGCGACATGTGTCGACATTTCTACTTAACATGCGTTGAAATCAGATTTTGTTGTGAGTTGCAGCACTTTTGTTGCTCGTGAAACTCCAGCTTTAAAGGGAAAAGGTTGATCAAGATGGCCTAATTTTGGTTCTGGATTACACACAAACAAAGACTCTCGGAAACTGCTGACGCATTCACTTCATTTAAGTTTTCTAAATTTTGCTCGTAGTTTTGAACATGAAAGTACTAGTGACAGGAGATTTTTTAAATATATGCACAATGTTTGTTAATATTCCAAGCATGCAGAATCGCTGAAATTCAACAATAGTTTGTAGCTACTTACCCCTATTTTCTCGACCTTTTTAATGTGTGCTTCTTTAAAGTACGAGTTCATGTAATTAGCTATTCCAGTTTGCTTTCCGCCTTTTTTGAGCCTTTTTAATCCAGTTTTTTTATTTAATAATCTAAACCTTTGTCTATGTATACTGGATGATGGAAATGGTTTGCCTTTTTATTTTCCGGATATTTTAAAAATTTCAACGACATTCGGATTCTTTTGGCTTTGCATGCATTTTTATTCAGCTTTTTAACTCTTTGACGACCCATCCCAAATTAAACTTTATTTGGTAACAATTCGGGAAGCCATTTTGTGTTCGAAATTTTGGACTTTTTAAGCCTTGTTTCCTTCTTTTAATTAGCCAAACATTGCTTGTATAACGACCCCTTACTATTATACTGTTTTACGACATGTTTTTAAAGTTTTTTGAAAATCACAAGTATAGTTTTTAGTGCAAAGTTTCACTTAGTTTGCACTATTGCTGTAGGTGGCAAGGTGAGGCGAGTGCCGATAGGCCCATTACTATTTTGACGGTATAATTATTCATTATACAGAGCATATAGGAAGTAGCGAGTCAGTGTTGTTTTCAAATGTATAAACATTTCAAACGTAAGTATTGAGAAAATCTTTGAGATTCTATACCCATATATAAATTGATGTTATGCATTACAGACATTCAATTAAGTGCCGATATTATTTTGACCGTATATTCATTAAACAGAGCTAGGAAGCAGCGAGACAGGGTTGTTTTTAAATGTATAAGGGACCAGTCATAAAGTAACTGCTAGGTAGGCCGGAGGGAAAAATAATTTTTCCAAAAAAGGAAACCGGTGGCCCATCCTGCGAACCTAGAAAAAATTTCAAAGCCCATCGTAGGTGATTGGAAAAATATTATGCATGACCCATCCTGCTATACATGAATATGTGCAGATTAGCAGTCACTTTGATCAAACCATGCACTAAGTCACTAGGGCAAGTAAATGAAATTGTAGAACAAGTAAAAAAAATGTAGAACAAGTAAATGAAATTGTAACTTCATCGGAGAAGCAAAAACAAGTAAAAGAAAGCGAAAAACAACAGTTGTGGGAAGAACAATGTACACTTGATTTTTAAAAAAAATCATTGGAAATTTCATCTCCTCAGTCCGACTCTATGTCATCAGAATCTGATTCTGAGGAAGGGCGACATTTAAAAATCAGTGCCTGTAGATGTGACTTACAAAATATTAATGCCGTTACTGAACTATTAACAGTAACAGGATTATGTTTTTATTTCATTTTGAATTCACTTTAAATCTATTATTTTGTTATATTGAATGTTGATTCTTTTAATATATAGGAATGTTGTGTAGGGGGGTTGCAGTATGTATTGAGTCCAAACATGGCTATATGTGTTTCATGGCCCATCCATTTGCACAAAAAAACAAATTGATGAAAATAATTCCATGGCCCATCCTTATTTCCTCCGGCCCATCCTAGCAGTTACTTTATGACCGGTCCCTATAAACATTTCAGACGTAAATATTGAGAAAATCTTTGAGATTCTATGCAATAATATAATAAATTGATGTTATGATTACCGGCATTCAATTAAGTATCGATAATGATATCATTTAGGCGGTATATTCATTATATACAGCGACTGTGTAAGGTATTACACCACATAATAAATGACTACACTCAGACACTCAGCTGTACACTGAAACCACAGAAGCATGTGATAGTATATGTGCCAAAATGCTGAATATAGATATAGAAATGATTATAGGGTTCAGACTCCGAGGACATGGTGGAAAAGACGAAGTGCGGAGTATGGAGTCTGTCAAAAAATTGTTTATTTTGTCCAAAGATTCGATTTTAATGAGACTCCGCGTTTAATCCACTTTATGCCCCATACACTTGCAATATGTTTCTCAATTTGCACTATCCTTGGATTCCTAGTTTTCAAGACATTCTTGCGAGTTCACAACAACACTGAGTATTTGTCAACAAGGCCGAGGCGAAATTATTGCAAAGAAAACCATTTAAACGCTCACTTTGTTAAAAAATTATTATTTTACATAAAAATTAAAGGTGATGTAAAGTCGGTAATGTAAACAAACGCTTTGGTTACATTTTGAACTCAGTTGCTACAGTTGTAAAATATGATTAGATATATATTATACTGAATTTTTAGCACTCTTCTGGTTCGCTATGCTTGTAAATGAATACAGACTAGAGATTCAATTCAAGAAAGTTCGGAAGATGCGAAATATTAATAACATTCCAATGCTCGGGTCGCGATCATTGGAATGTTGGCCTGCGCAGAACGGATTTTACATGGTCTTTAAAGATTAAAAGAGGATAGAGGACGAGTTTTAATAAGTGCCCAAATTAAGAAATAAACCAAATCACTAAAAAGACCACCTCAAAATTAGTAAGTTCATGAATTTTGAAGACGTTCACATGAATACCCTTCGAACAATAAGCTTTCGAAAATCGTGATATTTACTATGAAATGTACTGTAATTTTTGTTTTGGGGCACGCGTGTCCCCAAAACAATCTTTTAATCAGTAATTTCACAATTTTTGAAGCTTATTATTCGAAGGGTATTCATGTAAACGTTTTGAAACTTTGTATACTTCCTAATTTTGAGGTGGTCTTGTTTGCCATTTGGTTCATTTCTTAATTTGGGCACTTTTTAACACTCGTCCCAAGTCCACCCAGAATGGCTAATGGTTAATTAACGTTTACGTCTGCTATCTTGTTTTTACTTTTCCTCTACCGCAGTACGATAGACAGGCTAGCGAAATCTGTGTTTATGTTTTCTTACAACTTTTACTGGCAAAAAGAAAGCGTCCGCGATAAATTTGGTCAGTGACGACAGTTTTCCAACCTGTTGTTAACTGGCCTATCTCAGGGATATTTACAAGCACTTTAGTCTACTATCGTTCTTCAGAAGAAGATTGAGTTTCTTTTGGCTTTGGGGGGAGGACGTTAAAATATTTTGTGATCAGGGGCGCACATTCCGAAATTTTTGGAGAGGTGTAAAATACGTCGGGATCGACTTTTTAGTTTTTACATGTTCACATTTTGGAAGGGGGACTTGCACGAGGCGCCACCATGGTTGGCGCCGAGCGGGAAAATTTTGAAACTTTAAAGTCTCTAGATCGTCGGAAATGGCATTTTCAAACTCTAGTTTGGCCATCAGCTGGCTGTAGAGCACAAAAAGAAAGTTGATTCAAACAGTGTATAACGGCAATTAGCAATTCTGTAACCTTACTTATTAATTTTTGGACACTGTACAAAAAATAAATCTCACGGAAACAATAATTTTGCGAAATGCCTATCGGACGATCGGGACTGGCAAATGGTTCATTTGGGACCGACGTTTTGGACTATTTCTCAAAATTATGGGGGTGTCACACCCCTTCACACTTCCCGTAATGTGCGGCCCTGTTTGTGGTACACATTTCTAGTGTGCATGGGCATGAGTATTCCTCTACGAAATTTTGTGTCTCAGAAGTGAAACAGTTTTCGACAGGTTTTTGAACAAAATCATTGTGGAGGAAGATTGAGTTTCAAAACTCGAATGAAGATTGAGTATTTACTACCGTATACCGGTAGTAGAAAAGTGATTGAAAATATCCCTGCCTATCTGCTCATTTGTCTTGTTCACCCATTGAGTCACACTGCGCCCTGATACACCCTATTTTATTATTTTACTTTGTCTAACGCCGGATGATTTCACTAGTCCGTAAAGGGGAGAGCGCTGGTGCTTAATAGATTAAAAGCAAAAGCAAGAAATGAGTTTAATAAAACAAGACAGGGAAGAGTTTGCCAAGGACAACTTGCTTAAAACTACAATGTCAATGTAGAAATGAAAAAACTCATGTAACCAGCAATACTTGCAGTTTTAATATAGCATCGGGTTTTGACATAATATGTCCACGAATTTTAATATGGCAACGTTGCCAAGCAAGAAAGTAAAAAAAAAATCGTGAATCTTACCAGCAAGAAAGAATATTCTTCCTTTACAGCGACACCAGGCAGAGCAAAAATGCACCATCTTCTTTGGGGTGTTGGGGGTGACAACACCCGCCTGAACAGGGCCGTAGCTAGACCGCTAATTGGAGGGTTAAATGCATGTTCATATACAGGGTGTCCCAAAAAACGCAAACTATTGAAATCACCAATAACAATTTAATTGTTAGAATTTGAATGCCAAAGCACTCTGTTGGTTCCCACGAGTGCATACATGATTGACGTAAGTAAATTTTATGCCTAAAGAAACTATTTAGAAAGCTGCTTTAGATTCCCAAGAGCAGAAAATCGCTCACTTTACAAGGAGATGTTCTTAACTAAATTTTAATACATGCACCATGTCAATATTTTACGCATCATTACGTTCAGCTTTTTGGTAGGGCATTCAATTTTAACAATACGTGATTTCAATAGTTTTCGTTTTTTTGGGGACACCCTGTATATTCCTGTTCTGCCTGACGGATTTCTTTTGAAAGCGATTGTTTTTACGGTATGTGAACATGAATATATGAATAGATAGCTACGGCCCTGCGCATGAAAACATCTTGTTGGCAAAATGAAGGAATTTGTCCGCGATTTTTACGTGGCAAAGACTATTGCTATGTTTTATGTAAATTCACTATTCAGAGACTATAGCTATACTTATAAGGGTTGTTTGTAAAGCAAGATAGTGATTTTATATTAGAGGCAAATAAAGTTTATTAATTGTATGCTTTGACTCGTATACATTTTGTTTTCTGTCGTTGGCGTTCTCGGTTGCCAAACTCTCCATTATGCCCATTTGTAGCAATATTCAATATAAAATTATTCATTCAATTTAATCTATTATACATTTAATAAAGTTATATTCTTTAAGTTTAATCTTTTATACACATTCAATTCAATATAAAATGTTCATTCAATTTAATCATTTGTGTGTGTATGTATTTAATTTAATCCTGTAACAATATGCATTCAATAAAAATATTCATTCAACATTAAAAAATCCATTCAATATTTGAGGGCTGGGCCGAGTGCTAGGTTAGCACCACCAGACGTATGGAATTTAGTATGAGTTCATCCGTTTTCGCACCATTATCAAACAACATGGCCGCCTTCGGAAAGGAAACGATAACAAAAGCTGCTGAATTGCTTCAGCGAGCGTCCACGATTTTGCTGTCGGTGAATGAAAATTTGTCTGAAACCAATTTTCGCTCAACAGCTACCAATGCTGGTACGCCTGGAACATCAGCAGCTACTGCAATTGCCGTACTACTCGGTACTAGAGCTACGTGATACCTCAGCACGAGCTAAATCGATGCTAGTCGCTAGTTCGAATGCTGGCTTGTACAGACGTCTAAATAAAAACGAACGCCTGTGAGCTGCTGCCGGAAAATCATCATCTTCACCCTTACAAGGCTCAAGTTCAAGCAAGAAAGAAAAAACACTGCGAAGTTCAGAGAAAAAGACGTTTGAATTTTCACTGCTTCGAGCACCTGAGGTAGACAGTGACGGTGAGGAAGAAGATAGCTTAAGAAAGGACTATGTTATCAACAGAGGTATTATTACTTTAACTCCTTCTGACTCTGAGAAACTAATAAGAGATAAGATTGTTTCATCTTTAAAACCAAGATATTCCCTTATTGAAAATCGTGACTTTGAATTTGAGAAAGTAGTTCAAAAAATTTTCTGTTCTTCAGTTGGGAAAAGGAACACAGTATGATTACAGTATAGTGAAAAAATTGGCCGGGCAAGGTCTGTTGTACATTCGTATGAAGCAAGCAATGCAGTTTGCTGTTGATGAAGATTTTCAGGTTGAAGGCGATATGGCAGATGATCCATTTCCATCCTTATAACTACCCAGTCCATTTAATTCACCAACAACATCACCTGGTCTAACAGGTGCACCAAGTGATTACAATCTTGCCCCAGATGGTCCGTCTGTTAGAGAAACCACACTTGATAGTGAGCAATTTACACTATCCCCACAAGGTGTCCAGGAATTTGGACCAGCAGTTCCATAAATTGAACTGTCTCGATTTTTTTCAACAGTAATTGACGAAATACCAGCCACTGTTTGTGACCCAACAGAAATGCTAAGATTCTTGCAGAAGAAGATTTTGTTAGGTCGTGACCTAGATGTTAGTGATGTATCTTCTGAACTTAGTGGGGACACTAATTATATTTCAGTAGACCGAGATAATATTTTGGAAACAACATTCTCTGAATTGAATAATGTGATAGATCCAAGAATCACTTTTGAAGTTCAGTTCTATGGCGAGCAAGCTGAAGACAGGAGAGGCTCCAGAAAGGAATGGATTAGGCTTTGCAATCAGAAAATACAACTGAAATATTTTGAACAAGGTCTTAAGGAGCATCTTGCAAGTGACTATTTTTACATTGGCCAAATGGCAGCAATAACACTTCTTCAGAATGGACAGTCACCTGTTTACTTTCCAGAAACAGTTTTGCAAAATGTTTTTACAGGTCCGTACCCAAGCACACACCCATGCATTTCCAACCTACAGAAAGGTCTGGATACTCTTGGAATCCATACAGTTGGTAGAAAGTTCTCACAATTCCTGCATCACTTTAGACCATCTGAAAATGCTAAATTGTCTGTAAAAAAGTTACTACACCTTCTGATACCAAAATTTTCTGAAAAAGGATCAAACAGCCTAAAGTACTAGAAGAGCGTTTATGCTCATTTTGTCAAGTATGTTAGAGAAGTAGCTAGTAGTCGTAGAGTAACAAAGCTGGAGAATATCCTGGAGTTTTCTACTTGTGCAAGTGAAGAGACCCATCTTGGTTTTGCTCTTTCCCCCATCCATTGAATTTGTTGAAGCCACTTGTGCATCCAGCTAGGGAGCCTAGCTATAACAGTGATGAAAGGGCACCTCAAAATCAGGTATAGTATGACTTTTACCCCAAAAAATCAGGTAAGAGTTTTTCCTGATGCTGATATAGTAGTAGCCTTGTTATTTTGGATATGTATCAAACTTGCAAAACAGAAATTAAAACATTGGCAATCACTATTAGTAGAGTACTAAAGAGAAAATTTCGTATTTGTTGATTGTCATGTATTCTGGTTCTAAAATTTATTCGATGGTTTATATCATCATTTTGCCATTCAAAACGACATTAATGTTTAGCACTAGAATCCAAAGCAACTGAGTCTCAATTTTGTACTTTATTATTATCATCAAATTGTGTGTGATATCATAAATGTCATACTGGTAGTAATATATTTTTAAAGGTTTACATATGTGAACGATATGTATGCATGTTTGATTAATGGTTAAATGATTAAAAATGACTAAAGTTTCTGAACGTTCTCTGATATTTACGATCGCGCATCTAGCATTTTTAATAAAAATGACTAATTACAGTGGGGTTGGGCTTTCACAAATAGACCTTTCTCATAATGACGTCAGACACAGAAAACAACTTTTGAGGTGTCTCACAGGACAATTTTTGCGGCAATTTGCTAAATGCAAGTCGGTCCAGAGCCAATCAAATTTAATTTGCTAAAAATTGTCCCTCGCTAAAAGTTGTCGCATATTATATTTGACCCAGTGTCGAAATTGTACAAAACCTCACCCAGTTACGGTAATTAGTCATGCGTAATTACTTAACAACCATTATACAGTATACTAGAAATACATGCATGCAGAAACCCCTCGCCTTGCTTGCAAAACCATTATATTTTCCGAACGTGAAGGATTTAAAGTCGTTGTCATGGTAATACGATAATTTTATGAAGAACATTTTTAAAATTCAAAAGTCCCCTAAAATATCACTTTTAATTACAAAATTATTAATTTCCTAAAAATGTATATGTTGGGTTTCTTACAAACAAATTCTTATAAACAAATAAATTATTGTTTGGCTGCACGTCTCATTATTCATTAGCGATATTTCGGGTTTCAGAATAAAGTTTTTCAGGTACCACAAATTGTAGGACCTCAATGAAACCTCGGAATTTTCAAAAAATTTTCATTTTTTTTCCAAACTCGGAATTTTCGAATTTTTCCCAATAGCTCTTTCATCACTTTAATATATCCTCTTCGTTTTCCATTTTCGTTTAAAAGAGGGTTCTCTGAGCCAATTCCCTGCAGAATGTTGAGGAAGGAGAAAAGGACAATGATGAGCCAGGGCTAAAGAGGAGAATGTTTGGAGATTTTCTTCCCAAGTCTCACACATGCACAAACATCTTAAAACTACGAAGAGGAACACATCATCTCCAGATACCTTCCGAAGATACACTTTTTGAACATTATGATTTTGTATTTCTCAGTGGCTATTTTGGAAGACGGTGGTAAAATGACATTTTGCACTTTGGTAGTTATTGACCACAAGTCCAGAATCATAATGCTGACTTGAGTACATTAATTCAGATTGATTGGGTAATTTAGATTGAACATCATTCATGTAAGATTTAAAAGAGTATATTTATTTCACAACAAGCATCGATAATGGTGTACAGTACAGGGGGTGCCGGGGTGGGGATGCTTTGTTGACACTAGCTTGGGAGTATCATAGTCAGGGTATACAGCTGTACTTTGAATGTAGCTGTTAAGAGCATCTCCCATTCTTCTGTCCCCTGATTATGTTATACCATCACTGCATAGCTTAATTTTGATATTTGAAAACCAATAAGGTTTGAAATTAAAGTATAGAACTTTAATAGAAAAATAATATTGTCCCGAGCCGACGGCGCGAAGCGCCGTGCGAGGGTACTAATCCCCCCCGGCGGGTACTGATTCCTCCCGAGAGTACTAATTCCCCCAAGGAAACGAAAGTATTAGCGAAGTCTAAAATACATCAATAATCGCGGGTGTGGGTCACCGACGATGGGTGGTCATCCTCACTGATTTCAAAAATATGGCGGACTGTCATGTATAGCGGACACTAGAACTGACTGGTCCAATTTAAAGTTTGCATTATAACGACTGCATGACGACAGCGAAATAGCAAACATTTCTTGATTTTATGATTGATAAATTTCTTGCAAATATATTTCATTTTTGCTCGCATTTTCGCAAGATCTTGTAAATTTCAAAAGCTTTCTCAGAAAGAAAGGGCGAAAGAATCGGCTAAAAGAAGCGAGGCAACGTTAACGAAGGTAAGTTTCTTTTTGAAATATTGATTTTATAATTGCTTTAAAACCAGACGGCCTTAATTTGCGTATAAGAAACAACTAAACAAGACAGCATATAATTTCAGTATATCTTTAATATTGATTCCCTTTTTTATTATTTTGAATTTTTTAAATAAAAAAGAAAGCAAAGTTATTTACATGTGAGAATTTGAAATGATTTTATTGCAAACTCAAAGTTTATCGATAAAACCATTTAGTTAAAGGCAGTTTAGCTTTATTTAGAACACTTTAAAACGTTTTGCGAAGCTTTTGTGGTTGAATTTTACCTTAAATTGAAGCTTATATTACGTATAATAACATACCTAACATATATATGTTGGGAAATTGATAGTTTTGTAATTAAAAGCACAGAGTAGAGACATACAGAGACGTAACTGACCGTTGTAAACACTGCGGAAGCTTACGTTTTCATGTACCGACTTTTTTTTCAGGCGACCGGGCGAAAAATGATCAACTGCGCTTGCTCAGCAAGTTTAAAGTGTGTTGTCATCAGGTCGTCATCCAATCAGATGCATGCTGCATGCATCTAGTAACTTGCCGAGCAATGGCACAAAAAAGTGGGACACTAAGTTACGTCTCTGTATGTCTTTACTCCGTGTTAAAAGTGATACTTTTGCGCGATTTTTCATTTGTAAGAATATTCTTAAAAAGTTATCGTGTTACCATGGCAACTACTTTAGATACTTCATGTTCGGAAAATACAATGGTTTTGTCAGCAAGGCAAGGGTTTCTGCATGCATGTACTTTCTAGTAGTTTATCTACTTTGCTCATGCTCTATTAGCTGTACCATAAATTGTAGGACCTCAATGAAAATGTCAATTCCAAAACACGATGAAAGCTTCAAAGCATCAATAGATTGTATTCGCCTAGGTCTTCGCTATAAAACCTTGTATCATGAGGGTCATCATCAAGCCCCCCAATAGCTAGTGGATTGTCTCCTCTTAGAATGCCATTAATCCAAAGTTGGTTTGGTGTCCAGTTGTGCTCGATTGAAAGTGGGTGGTTATTAAAACTGTCCATCCACTCATGCAAAGCATAATTTATTCTTTGTAAAAACACCTAATGTAACACAAACATGTGGATTGGGTTGTCTAAGTCAAGAAGGCCCGTTTGCTCCATCGCATGATAATTTATAGTAAAAAATGTGGGAGACGCATCGGAAAACGTCACGCCATAACCTTTCAATCCGTAGATTTCTACATGATGAACCTGCAATAAAACTTCCCCTTCCCTCTCCACGAATAGAAACCATTGTATCACACACTGCAACGTTTTCAACTTCATAATCTACTCTTAACCGTGAAGGCCACAAGTCATCATCACGTTGAATTGCATCTTCCAACAAGGACAAAACTATTGTTGCAAGGTTATTTGTGCTGCAGTGGAGGAAGTTAATTCTCCTTGAATATCCGTCAATACATCCATGGATAATTAACAAATCCCCATCGGATGAGAGAGTGATGACCGTCCATGTGCCACAACGAGTTTGGCCAGGGCACAAAGTACATTCGGCGAGACACAAGTGCACCCCACCGTAAAGCTGTATTTCTGGGGTCAACCCTATTCAGACATTCTCTTATTCGCTTCCGTTGAATGTTGTACCCAAGAGCCCGAAAATGACCTCTTAAATAAACTTCACCTGTAGTTGATCCATGCCTTGATATGTAGGCATTAATTATTTCATCAACTTCTTGGTCACTAACGTTACTGAACTTTGCTAAGTTTTGTAAGCCGTATTCTCTAACACGACGCATTACTGTCCAACGAGATACTGTAAACATAGCAGCAATTTTTGTCCAGGTGAACCCCAGGCCTCTCAGCTCCTCCAAAAACTCAAGCGGAATGACATAAGGTGGCCTCCCCGGTCCTCCAGCTTGAGCAATTAAAACGGGAAAAGCTGAGGGATATGTCGATTTTAACCTTAGTTGGTATCTCCAGAGTCTTTCATAAAGTTTAAGAAAAGTCTAACAAACGCTTATCCTGGTCATGAACAATACGCATCAACTGCCCTAACCATTTGACAGTTGTATCTAACAAGTTTAAATGTGTCAAAATGCACCCGTTAACATTTCGCCTGTCATTTTCTTTTGCATGTGGTTCGCCCACAACTTCTTCCGTTCTAGTTAAGACTTCCAAGAGGAACTCATGGCAACTAAAACCAGCCTGGTGCGGATCTTCGTTTACTTCGTTTTCTTCAAGTGCAGTCTCAGCTACGGCGGCCATCTTACTTTTGGCTAACCGAGCACTCGGCCCAGTCCTCAAATATTGAATGGATTTTTTTAATATTGAATGAATATTTTTATTGAATGCATATTGTTACAGGATTAAATTAAATACACACAAATGATTAAATTGAATGAACATTTTATATTGAATTGAATGTGCATAAAAGATTAAACTGAAAGAATATAACTTTATTAAATGTATAATAGATTAAATTGAATGAATAATTTTATATTGAATATTGCTGCAAATGGGCTGGCATACTCCATCACACCGGCAAATTAAAATGACTTAGCTTTGCCTTTTCTTTTGTAGGATGCAAATCATCAAGAATATTTTTACAATGGTTCTATTGGGAATGTCGATTTTAAGAGAGTCCAGGTGGGATATCAGTATGTTAATGAGAGAATATTCCGGCGGTGTACAACAAACCATCAAGGATGGTGGGAGCATATGAAATGGGCGGGGTTGAATCGTCTTGCTCGACCTGTTGATTGTTCAGCAAGAGGTAAGTCAGTGCGCATGAGAATTGTCTATAGAATAGTATACAAATAATGAATGTTTATGAGTGCAAAGGTAAGAATATTTTCATGAGGTGAAAGATGGCGACAGCCGAGTTGAATGGAACATTCCATCTTTCACCGAACGAAAATATTCTTACCATATTGCACGAAGAAAAACATTCATTATTTGTTTTATATAATACCAAAATAGACTAACATTAAAAGGTTTACTGTAAGCTCCCGCCATTTTAACGAGTCGTATTTGCATTAAATTCCATTTACTGAGTTTCGAATATTGGGTTAAAATAAACTGCGATCGCCGTACGAGAAGCATTTTGACAAATGCGATTTATCGAAAACACAAACCATTTATCTCTTCTTATCTCTTCAGTGCGTGTTTGTCAAGCACTTGAAGAAATAAGGTTTTCCAGCATTCCCACATTAATTTCATCCACGTTTTGTTTGCAGTCAAGCTCTACCCATGGAAACATATACAAGTCACTAAGAAAGCTTTCAACATTAAATTTCCTAAAGTTTCTAAATTCAACCGAATTTTGAGAATTTCCTTTAATGACGGAATTTAGTTTACGTGTTGCATAGATTAAACTATGATCACTTATACCGAGATAGTAATGCAAACATCAAGTGTTGATTTTGTAGATTAGTAACACGTGTAGGATCATCAATTATTTGTGTTAATTGGTACAGTTGCATTATTTCCTGAAGCATTTTAACATTCGACAAATTTGAATCGAGTAGATTGCAGTTCAGATCACCTGACATGTAAACTTCTTTGTTTTCATTATCCACTAGTTACAATTACAATTTACAATTACAGTTTATTCAAAAACCGATCTTGCAGCCAAGAGGCTGAATTACAAGGGTTAAATTTTACAAAAGAAAGGTTTAAGTTAATTATACTATCTATTACTAATATTTGCTGTGTTGCTGTAATGTACTCAGGTGAATAAGATGCTTGCGATGTTACTCTGAGTGTATATCCACACCGGACAGGCTTGAAAAATATGCCTGGCCACGGTGGGAATCGAACCTACGACCTTTGGAATACTAGCCCAATGCTCTGCCAACTGAGCTACGCGGTCGTAGGTTCGATTCCCACCGTGGCCAGGCATCTTTTTCAAGCCTGCCGAGTGTGGATATACACTCAGAGTAACATCGCAAGCATCTATTACTGATTAAAAATACTAAACATAATAAAAATAATTGTAACTTTAATGGGACTGTCTATTTCAATTAATAATACTATCTATTAATGTATTTAAGAATATTAATATACTTACAGTTAAAATTAACAGTTATTTTCGAAATATATAAAATCCTCAGTGACTGCTGCTTTCATTATTAGAACTTGCAGCAATTATAAAAGACTTTTTAAATCGTTCAGTCTTGCATTTAGGAATTTTAAAGTTCTCAAAGTTCTCAGGGAATACGCTACGTCAGTATTTGGGTCTGGTAGGAGTGGGTGCAATTTGTGATTTTTATCTTCCATTATTTCTTTGAAGAGTTTGTCGCACGCAATTTGACGTCCTCTTCAAGAGTTAGAAGATTAGAATGGGAGAGCGCTTTGGCATATGATTTGGTGGGAAATATGATTTCCATGGCTCGTCGCTGAATTCGTTCAATGTCTTTACACAGATATATGGAATTCCATAATGAAAGACAGGAGATGCGTATTCGACAATTGGTCGGATACAAGTGCAGTAGAAACACATCGTCTCGGTGGTAGATACTTTGGCACGTTTCAATTGTCGCTAAATATACAATCTCTTGGATGCCTTTTTAACAATATTATCAATATGACTATTCCACTTAAGGTCGCTGCTGATAGTCAAACCCAAAACTTTACTTTGGAAGACCAAGTCTACCTGTTCACCGTTGACTGTCACTAGGGGAAGCTGCTGGTAATTAGTGTTGTATCTGCTAAATTGTATTCGCATCTCTTTACATTTGTCCTCGTTGAGGGTAAATTTCAGGGTGTTGGATAGGTTTTGGATGTCATCGACCGCAGACTTGAATATTGCTGTCCCTTCCTCTGGGTATTACCTCGGCTAAAGTCGTATCGTCTACGTATTTCCAGAGGTTGTTACTGACTGTGTTGAGGTCATTGATCATAAGAATATATAACCAAGAATATATAACCTTGAATTAGCTATTTTGAAAAGGTCTCAACAATAGTATTTGGTGGTCTATAAACACTCGAAAAAATGAAAGACTTACTATTGGCTTGTTTTATTTCCAAACAAACGACTTCTAGATCGTTTGGAATTAAATCTGGACGGTTTTCATAGTTTACATGACATCTAACGTATAATATGCATACTCCCCCTCCATTTCGTTTTCGATCAGAGCGCAGTATATCGTAACCCTCGATACTCATAAGGTCGTCCGAAATAGAGGAGTCAAGGTGAGTTTCATTTAGTGCCAAGACATCCAATTTTTTATCATGCAATAGCAGGCGAATTTCGTCAAGGTGTTTCGGAAGGCTAGCTATATTGAGCATAGCCATCCTAAAACCTCTTAATTTAGGAATACTTGACCAACTTGTCTCATTATCTTTTTCCCTCGGCCTCTTTCCATCATATCATTTTCGAACGTTTTTAAATGTTTCATGCTTATTTCGCTTCCCAAGAAACACGAAAGGTCAACTTATACTAGGACATTAGGCCTACCCGAAATTAAAGTTGAGTTGAAATGCTAAAATTGAAATTGTTAATTTTTGTGGAAAATGGCAATTTGTTTTCATATAAATTTGATCAGCCATGTTTCTCGATATTTTACTCAATTTTAAAGCGTGCGCCACATTCAAACGTTTGTATCTCACATAGTATTACATAACATTTTTAGAGCTGTATATCAAAATCTAAGTTAGCCTATCCTCAATCTAATAAAACTTATTTTAGTGTAATAGCTTTTATAGTTTTTACCTTACATATAATCAAACATCGCAAGTCTTTTTTGGGACACCCGGTATCAAGATTATAAAAATAATTGTTAAGGTGGCTCGATACAGTTTTCAAAAATTCAGGTGTTTAACACTTTGACATGTTCAAACTACGTATTTTTAGGATTTATGCAGCAGATATTGAGTTTTTTATATATTTTGATAACTCTACTTTCAAATTATATTCGTTTTAGTAACAGATAGTTCGTTGCTATGACGACATACGTGTACGAAATTGATTCCAAAATGGCCTATCGTCTCGTATAGTTGAAAAAAGAGCATGGCGACCCACAATTTTTTTCGTGCATTATTTTACTTGGACGAAAAACTAACAATTAGCAAAATATAAAAAATTTCTGTAATGCCATTTTTTTGGAAAATGCGAAAATGTCATATTCTTCGGTAACATTTTTTTGGCATTACAGAATTTTTTTATTTTTTGTATAATGAAAATTTTTAGCGGTGCAATACAGCATGCAAAATTTGAACATAGGTCACCAGACAAAATAAAGAGATATAGCGCATTGTTTTTCTAAAATGGAAAATTCTAATGACGTCAGCAATTGACATAAAACGCTATAGAACACGCGCAATGGCGTGATATGGCGCGAGCAACTGCTCACGTCAGGTCATTTTGGAAGTTCTTTCATTTTGTTAATCAGTTTCCGCGACCTGCGCGTAAAAATGGTCACCCGGTTTTGAGTTCGCGATTCTTGAGCAGGGTTTTTGTGATAACTATATCGAGCCACCTTAAAGGGATTTCTAGATGCATGATATTTGCCCATACATAGGGAATTTTGGTGGGAAGCATTAGTTGTTGTTGTTGGGAGTCGAAGCGAGTAACTCGGTATCGGGAATATGTGATTTATTTTATATTAAACTTTACACTATTATTATTATTTTGTGGGAAAATTATTAACTATTATTTACAGGCTTTTTTAAAGTAATTTTCTGCATACGGTGATGCATTATTTGTATCTGCTCGTCTTTGTTTGCGTTGTGACTTGTCTTCCAGTTCAGGAACATTGGAATTCCACTTAAGCAGTTGAATAGTTGCGTTTTGAAGAATATCACTGGCCATTTCCTTGGTGTGTTGTGCCAGCTCAGCTACAACGTCTGGACATCTCCTTTCCGGCCAAGTGTCAAGATGAGCTTCCAGATCACCGTTGAGAAGAACTGGAGAAGGGGCAAGACTAAACAGAACCGCATAAAATGGTATGTCTCGAATCGATTTCATCTTAACTCACCCGACCGCCAATGAAACCTTAGGGCATGTCGTTCGGTTTCTCGTACATGTATTTGTAAGAATGCTTGGCGAATGGATAAACGCGTTGCCGGACTAGAACATTGCATTTTCCGTTGAGAAGTGGTGGTCCAGGTTAAGGAATTCGTTAAGGGATGGGGAATCAGGAAACGCACGTGCAGACGCGTCATAAACAACTCGTTACATTGTTGATGATGCCGCTTCTCGCGCAACCGGTTTGTGCGGAATAACTGTAGAACTCTTGACCCGAGGCTTTGACAGCAGCTTTCCGTCAACGACATTTTCTTTAAATTAACTTGACTCTCAATATGTTCGTTATACGCTGCCATTAAGTTCTTTCACTGTAAATTTTTATCCAGCTTGCTCAATCGCTGTAGAATTCCTTATTTGTTATTCGGCAATTTTGGATGGTTGGCTAGCCAAGATAACCCCGTCCCGTGCTAGCCTTCTTTGTTGCGGTGAAGTTGCTTCTTAATTGAACTCGGCATGCACGATAGTTTGGTCATTCTCAGCTGCATTAGCAAGTCCAAGAATGTCCATTCGATGTAATCACTTTGCGAAGTTTGCGTTAACCGCACCCGGTTCCTGTCAAATTCTGTTCCAGGGCTCATTATGAACCATCCCATCTTCGTCAGTTCCGCGATTGGGCCACCTTTCTTTCTCACACGCAAGGTTTCGTCTCAGTCTTGATGCGTGCGTATTCGCCAATTCCAAGGATAACATGCACAGGAAGTTGAATCATGCTCCATGAAGAACAAAAATGATCGTTATTTGGCCTTATGTACCTTGGTTTAATACGGAAGTGAGATCTGAAAAAAAGGGAGAAAAGAAGGGCGAAACAAAGGGAGAAGAACCAAACTGCCTAATGACTTTGAAATCTATAAATCTAAAAAAAATATATGATACTTGTAATGAACCGCGCTCGGAAGAAATTTTACCCAGATTAATTTTGTCTGGGAACATGGCTCAGCTAGACCAAAGAAAACTTTTTAAAGCTGCCAAAATTTTCTCTTCTATCAGAAAAATGGTCTTATTTTTCCTGCATATGAAGATCCGAATATGTTAGCCAATGATATCGGAGAATTTTTTGTTCAGAAAATTGAAAATATTCGAACTGAACTTGACTTGAATCCTATCGTCCACAAATTTCCTACACTAGATGTTAGTTTTGATTTTGAACAATTAAGCCAGGATGATGTAAAATATCTTATGACTAAATCAAACAGAAAAACTAGCTCCTTAGATCCAATGCCGACTTCGATGTTCGTGCAGTGTTAGATGTTCTTCTTCTTTACTTACAAAAATGATAAATATGTAATTAGATTCTGGATCTTTCCCTGATGAGTGGAAGGTAGCAGGTGTTCGTCCACAATTTAAGAAATCTAAA